GGACTAACGAGTAGTGTACCAACTAACCAGGCGCTTAGTCTCCTCCATCGGCATCCACCCAAGCAAAGACAAAGCGATCCGTACCTTCATCCGCTCTGCCGCTCGAGGCCAATCCTTTGACGTTAACAATCCCCTGCTAGGGCCGTCACTCCCAGTCGGTCCCCCTGCCCAATTCCCGTGCTAATTCGCTCTATCTTCCCTCATCACACGCGTACCCGCAGGCAGTTTCGGTCACGTGAGTATATAACGCGGTTCAGAGTGACTCGATTGGGTGATAGTCCGAGTCTACGAAAAGGACGAAGAGAACATCCTGGTGGTGATTGGCAACCAAGGTCTCCTCCACGGTGGATACTTAATTGAAGGAAACAAAGACATCGGACAGGGGGTTGGATATCTAACCAGTCACTGGCGTCAAGGGGGTTTGACACTGACTCGTACGCTGTAGTTTTGCCCAGTCCAGACTCGACCAGCATATTACCATGGGACTTACGTGCTCTGTTGCCGGTTGGGTTCGGCAGGGCTCTGTTTGGTCGTACCGCCCTTAAGCGGTGTGGCAATTGACGCGCTATACGCGAGCCTAACAAAGAACATCTTCCCAAAGCAACCCGGAACTTCTATGATAAAAGAATAGAATAGTCAAGTACCCATATGTCCTCCAAATTCGAAAGGCGAACGCTGGGGAAGACAATCAGACATGAGCGGCACACCATCCAAGTTGAGGCTCAAGTGAAACAGCTGTTCATTGCCGCTGCACTTGGTGGCTCCATAGCGTGCAACAGTACTTTTCGCCATTTGCCCACCGATCCAACTCCACCATCATAATAACCGACATACAAGCGAGCCCAAGCGTGTAACCAACCCAGAGCTACTCTACGAGTGGAAAGGCTCCAACGCGGATATGTCCTCCCATCATACCATGTACAACTGTTCTCCGCTCAAGACTTATTTGTCTAGTCAGGGTGTTACATCGTTCAACGTCCGGGATCCGAAGCCATTTTGACACCATCGTAGTCAACAATTAAGGAGTTAGTTTCATTTTGTACTATCCTCATTCTACCCCGTACCTTTCTTTGTTCTTGGTTTTTGCTCTTGTTCTTTATATTCAGATATATAGATTCATCTCTCTCCTTTTTCTTCTTCTGGCAAAACGTATTATACAGGTATTGAATTTAGTAGAGACAGACGTATATCAAGATTAATTTACTTATCTGAATCGTGGCTGAAGTCATCATATTAAGCAGGTTCTTTCATGGCTCCAGAACATTATGAAACTGGTATAGCTAATGACGAACTGTCAGGATTCGGTGGAGCCCCTTTGGCGATGGCCGAAAGTCAAACATAGTACTGTTAGTCAAATTGTTACTTCGTACTTCTTAGACATATTCGAGATATGAAATTAAACAAAAAAAGGGGCACGAAAGGGAAGAGGAGAACCTCGGGGATGAGCGGGATCTCCCCGTCTGTCCGTCAACTACTACTGTGTACTCCGTACTGTTGCAGCGCTGCTACCATTACTCCGTACTATAGGCACAAGATAGTCACAACGCACGGGAGAGGATTCTAGTACTGCTGGACCTTTCCCACTGCCTATCAACCCGCTCTCCACTCATGGAGATCGCCGTGCACTTGTGACGGCTCAACGGCGATGCAACCGCAGTTACTATGACACAGGTCTTACATGTTGCATTTCCGACTGCTGCCCCTCAGAGCATCCTCGTCTATCACCTTATTTGTCAGCAATGGGATATGACAACAGATAAACGCTGCAGGTAATGAGATGCGTTGTCTCTTCCTGGTAATCATATCCTGCAAGCGAGGGTTGTCGGTGAGCTCCTTGATGCAATCAATACCTTTAGCCGAGCTGAAGATACACCAAGTAACCTTTCGTGCCATGAGATCGGGGGTCCGCAGTGCCCAATGAGGTATCCTCAGCTCATGTCGAAATTTTCATCGACTGATGTATCGAATGTCAGCCACGGACCATGCTGTACTGCACGTTAGATCAAATTATTTCTAGCAAAACTTAAACTGTGCCTTTTCTTTGTTCTATGTCAGTTCTTGAGTCACACACTACCCTACATAGCCTGGAAAAGATTAGATAATATACAATATACAAAACAAGAGAGGGGGTAAGAGCAAAAACAATGAGAACAAATAGTGTGAATGAAGGGATAAACCGGCACTTTTCAGCCTTTCAGGGATTATCTTCCAACTCCTTGCGATTGGGATCATATATGATTGGCGAAGAGCTGTTTGACATGGTGGCAATGGACATGATACTCGTCATTTCTTTGTGACATGACTCAGTCATAATGCATATCACCTAGGACTGGTCCTGGCGACAACATCTACAGGTGTCCCTAGCCGCCCAACTCTGTTGTATCACTTTTTGCCTCAATACTGACCAACAATTCTTCATGTAAATATCACCTGGACCACAGTGCAACCTTCAGAGTCTGTCTTCGGTCTCGTGCCCACTGATGACCATTTCTCATTATCCAACACCGGCTGATTTGCCTGACCATTTGTCCCCACCTAGGTGTGGAGGCTACTTTTCTTCCTCGAGTTCTCGAGCTTCGTTAAGTTTTACTGATCCCTTTTAGCTGCGCCCTGCTAAAAGACGCCCGTAAAACCATCGAACGGAAGATCTACAAAGACTACGAACCTATCCTTTGATTGCGATGAACGGCCAAACTGACAGTTAGCTGATCCTTTGCCTATTCTGCGCCACAGTATTGATGATCTGACCCATTTGCCTCCTTCTGGACGAAGGACGGCCGAGCTCCCGGCGTCAAGCTTTCTATTATGACAGACAGTAGCTAAACTAACCGCTGAACAATTGGGTTTTAAGCGGTCCGGCCGAATGAATTAATATTTACAAACGATATTTTTTTTTCTTTCGCCTCAAGTGGCCTTTGTACTATACTGCTCTTCGTACTCCGTGCCAGAAGTGCCAGAATCGAGTGTCTCTTTCCTAAAAGGACAAGGAGAAGGTGTGAACCGTGGTTCCTGAAGCTTCAGCGGATTACTCCATCAGGTATATAGAGAATCTTTTGGTTTAGCCAGTGTGGGTCACTCGACTCTTTCGGATTTTGGCCTTCGCCGTATGCCGACTTTCCACGGTACGGAATAGAAGGAAGTGGAAAAAGGAGCACGGTCATAGTCTATATATTTGAATTTATTATGACCATGTCCAGTAGCTTCGAACCTTATCCCCTACGGACCTATCGGCTGGATTGCATCCAAACTATCGCATCATCCCATTCAATGATTGGCGATTCATTTAATATTAGCAAGCAACAAGGAGAAATAACCATTGGAAATACGTCTATTGGTAGTAGCTCCAGGCTACCATTTTTGAGTGTGTCAATACACGATTTCTTTTTTGTTCGCCTCTGTACCTTTTGTATGGAGCCATGTTGGTCAGGTTAAATTGCTTTTTGCTCTTTTCCTGTCATTCTGTTTGTGACCCCTGCGCCCAACACGTGGGGCGAAGTCGCCTCAAAACTCAGTCATCATCCGTACCTTTTCCCGGTAGAAGTTCACCCGAACAGTACTACTAGACGCCAGCGGCTCACCTCCTGTCTCGAACAAAACAAGGGACTCTCGGAAAGGGAAACGCGGCCTCATGCCTTACAGTTCGGGTGCATGTCAAAAGGTGCAAGTCTCGATGCAACGCTGCACAGCATTCTCGGTATCAGAAATAGAACTCGCTAACAATGATATTCATAATTTGCTATCATATAGATAGGATGCGTTGAGACCCCTAGTCACGTTGGATCCAATCGGTCGTCCTGGCTTGATATTGATTGACATCTAGTCTACCTCGTTGGGATGCGGCACAGTCGTTGTACATAAGGTCGGCGCGCCGGTTGCTTCTGGCCCCTCTTTCAGGACCACCATATCTATTCTGCCTAGGGAATGAATTAATGAAGTCCACTAGTGTCACTATTGTTGGCCTTTTTTTCTGTTTTGAACTATTTGGCAGTTGTTTCTCTTGTCCAATGATTAGTTTTTTGAAGATTAGTTCGGGTTACTACCAGTATTCTTGTTGTGGCGTCAAAAAAAAAATTAAATAAAATAACTACTCAATAAAAAAAATGGGACATTTTACCGACAACCCCATGACAGAAGCTTTGACTTTGACGGCTCCCGTTCTCGCATGAATGGACAACTTAATACAATGGTCGTACGGTACTGTAATGCGAGATTTCAAATTCAGGAAGATTTATTTTAAGTAAACGAAAGGTAAAAAAACAAAAACAAAACAAAACAAAACAAAAATTAAAAGTTCAACAGGTTAGGGGTAAAAAATCAACACGAAATGGTGTCTTCAGACCGTTTCGATCGACAAGGCTCCGCAGAAAGATAATGTGAGATTCGATTCTGCTGTCTCACTTACCTAAGGAATGTCACTTGATGTTTTACTTTAATTATCCAGTAGATAGGAAGGATCTTCGTACTTTGTCACTCTACTCGTGTTATGGGGAAAGGGGAGGGGAAAGTGGGGGATTATCCTATGTTTACCTATATTGCTCGCACTTATTTACTCTTGAGAGAAACTGAATTAGAAATGGGACGCGTACCCATGGAGCCAGCAAGGTTACCGTAAGAGTACATGTACAGCGCCAACCCTGGACAGGTTACGACCTCAGCTGGACGGAACATGCTGAGAGTTGCCGACTAATGCCCAACTACAACACCCTCTACCAGACTGTCGGGTCCATGGTGGTATTCAACGCGAGAATCAGCCGGTGGGCGCATCACCAGAACTAATACGCCTGCCGGTGGACTGGGACTGAGGCAATCAATGGGAGGTCTAAGAAGAGAGTGCTAGACCATTTTAAGTCATTGCCTGTTTGGGGATTCCGAATCTTTATGCTCCTTCTTCTACCTTGTATCATTATTATTATTATTTTTTTTTTCTAGAAAATACTAAGGTGGCATTCGACAGGGGAGTGAATTTTGGTAAGAACAGGGAATATCTTTCCCTCGTGCCTCTCTACCTTGTTATATGTATTTGTGTTTTCGTTGTTTTATTCCTTTTTGACTCCGTACCTTGATTTAATTTTCTTTTGGCCTTAGTAGAATAAGATTGTTGGCGTTGGGTGAGTAATATTATGCTCTGATATAGCCACTCATTCTGCTTGGGAAAAGTAAACTGGAACGAACCCGCCTCGATATCCATGGATCTCCTCGGAATTATGGGTTGATGTTCTGCTATCAATAGTACGAAGCGTTTTCCTTCTCGAACTCCACTATGTCAAACTCTTTGTTTCTTCACACCCATCGGCGATCTCCGTATCTAAAACCCATACCAGTGACTTGATTGAACATTGAAGTTGTATCCACAGAATGCCATGGTCTCCACGGCACGAAGACAAATCTTGCTAGTCGTGTACGAGGGTGCTCCCTCCGAGTTCCATCCGTCATGATTGAAAATTCCTAGATTTCTTTTGAATAACTCAAGTAGGCAAATGGATACTGATGATAGCAAAAAAATTAAAAAATTAAACTTCCACATGCTCGCCCCTCCTCAGGGTGGAGTTCCAGACCAAAAGCTCAAGCCTTGGGCTTGGCGCGTTTTTACGATCTTCAAATGGTCTGTTCGTTTATTTTGACATGGTACTAATATGGTACGAAGGGTCAATTTTGCATCGGAATTGGCCCCCACCGCAACCAATTCGGTCGCCTTCCTTTTGCCTTCGTCCGTTTTACTCACAGAGGAGATGCTAGCCGAGATGGATCCATCTTCAGTTCCTGTCGAAACTTTAGACTTCAACAGCCAACTCTGCAGACTCGAGCGATTTCCGTACAGGGAATGTGTGAAACGTAATTCGTATAGGTACCTACCTCCACTGGCGCAGTGCTTAGTGTAGATTGTACAGGTACCTGGAGGCTCCATGAAGTTTACTTGACCATTTCTCCACGCTAACCAGGGTAGATCGGGAATTGCGGATGAATTCCCCGCTCCCACTCTCACCTTTCCTCCGTATGTCGGGGTTACTCGGACCTACCGGCTTTTGGTTTGTTCCTCCCGTTTCGCCTCTTCCGTGGAGCAAGGACTAGTATCAAGCTCGAATTCTCGTGTCTTGTTTAGGACTTGGTTCACCGCGTATATGTACGAGCGTAGAGTGGGTCGTTTGACCATTCTAGACTGTGATCTTCTGTTTTCTTTGTAGGAAACTGGGTATTATGCTATCATTATGAGATCAGGTCTAATCTCGGCCGGCCGAGCTTGTTTGAGGGCCGAGCTTGATATATTAATCTCGGCTTGTATTTTGTCATGGTCATGTCATGTTCTGTATGGTACTCTGTGTGGGTATTGATCTTGGTACTGTACATAAGCCTACCTTGAAGTATAACCAAGAATTTGTTGAACAGAGACATACACCTTCAAAAAGCTACTGTGCCCTTTGGGGACGTAACCAGGTAGTGCTGGACAACATGAGATACCCCAATTGCACCATCTCAACACCCCAATCACCAATACTGGCCGAGCGCAAGCATATGATACATAGCAGAGATCTATATATGGACATGCATACATATGTTTTCTGCAGCTCAACAAGCCACTAACTAACGAAGATCACACAATACCATTCATTCGATTTCCTCACGGAATATGCGAATCCTCCATTTCTCCACCCAACTCCCCCATCGTCGATAGAGGCATTCGACATGTTGATCTCTGAGGGATAGACTAAATCCTAACGCAAGTCTAGCGTCGTTCTCGTGGTATAACACCTTTCTCGGGATAGTGTCTGCGGATACTGCTTTAGCCCCAACGGCTTTTTCTTCGCAGCTGTTCTTCACTTGCCGAAATGAAGCTGAACTTGAACCTATTTGTTTATTTATTTTAATTTAATTTATTTTTTTTTTTTCCTGCATTAGGGCAAGGCAACTTGTACCTTAATGTGAATGTTTACACGTGCGCATATAGTCGGTGTATTATATAGAGATCACTTTATCTACCGTATGCTTTTTCTTTTCCTTTCTATTTTCTATTGTGTTGGGGGTTGGGCGGTTATCGTCGGCAGTCGGTCACTGCTATAGGTGTATTCGAGGTAGTATACCTATATTTTCTGATTTGAATCTGTGGTGATGGTATGTGGTTCAAGTTATGTTGCCTTCGTGGAGTATTGTCCTCCTAGTAGTTAGTTTCTCTATTATATATTTTGCTCATCAGCATGGAGTCTTGATATACTCTGATTCTTTAGATAAGAAATATTGCTCGCCCCATTGAAATAATAAAATGCCCTACGCCTAAGTCTCCGTGGCCATTGAATATAGTAGAACATTCGAGTAGCTGACATCCGGACTTGAGACGTAAGAGCCTTGAGCCATATTTACTTCTAGCACGTTACGGGACAGGGGTCGCACTGCTTGTAGCACGTTATGATCATAGGTAACTCAAGACCCTAGGCATTTAGTATCTCCTGTCATGTTTTTGCGGTCGATTATGCATTCTTCTCCAAAAAAAATAAGCGTTTTCATGAGGCCTCAAGGTGCAAGTCTACGTAACGGAGTATAAGCAGTTTATATAGATCCATGTCCACGCTGAGGATCTCGAGCACGACTTTCTATACTCGATATGACACTTCTTGCAGTACAAGTTAATTGGTCCAACGTTCGAGCGCCTTAGATTGTCGCTAATGGGTGGATGAAGAGCCGAACAGATTTCTGCGTTGGGACTTATTGATTGACCGGCTTGCATTGATAGTACATGACCATCATGGATCATGATCCGGTTTTCCTTGTAGGCCTCCAAGGTACTTACTGAATCCCCATGGCGGACCATGATCATAGCCGGATGCTATATGTAGACACCTTTTTTTCTGAGCATGAACTGCGGAGGAATGAAATCTCTTATTCTGTATGCTATTTGCAGATGAGCTAGAACACATGAAATCCGTCATTCAACTCGAAATGATTCCCATGATTTTTCTTATCTCTTATCAATTTGACCTTTTTTTTTTTGTTTTCTACATACTACATCCTCCGAACACGTTGTGAGATGACCATGCCGCCTACCGCAGCTGTTATGTGATAGTCCTGTCCAGCCATGCCATAGATTGAACGACTCAGTTGGTGTGATAGCCGGTAGCAAGTTCGCATCTAATTGTAAAATCAACCAGGGCCCAACTTTAGCTATGACAAGACACTTACGGATCAGCAGCATACTGAATGTTGCACTGTTCCCAGGACTCGTTACGGACAAGCACGGCACGGAAGCGAACTGCATCATCGATGCTACAGAAACGGAATATGACGTTGCGTGCCTACATGGATTAATACCCAATATAACATCGTTTCTGGGGAATGAGTACTTACCTCGCCGGGAACGTAGCTGTCCAGGATCTTTTCAACCTTTCGATGGTTGCCGGTAGCCAATTCAGAGAGCTGGCGCATGGTAACATCAAGGTCAACACCAACAGCACGGACAACACGAGTTGCGCCTGTGGACAGGCTGAAAGACAGCTGAGAGCTGACAACGTCGACCTCTTTTCCCATTTCCACAAAGACAGTGATCTTCTTTTCTTTATCAAGATCGATGCCGTTGGGATACTTATCGTAGAAAGCTTTGCACGCTTCGTGTTCACAGAACAGAACTTGAGCAGTGCCAGAAGGAGCCACAGAAATGCTCTCGATAGTACCGCCGTGAATCAAGCATAGGACCTTTGCAGGAGTCTTCCAGGTGGAGGGCAAGGCCCTGATGATAACCCGTCTGACGCGAGCAGCTTGAAGAAACGAGACTGTTAGTAAAGATCGTCAGTGCAGGATGGAGATCATGGTATACCGGGCTTGTCACGGATCTCCGGAGTACCCCAGGTCTCAAATGTAGTCTGGTGTTCACGGCTCTCTTCTCTTTCGACAGAAGTATGAGAAGCGGTAACGAGGGTGTCAGCCGAGACGAACTCGGGTGTGCTGGACTGCTCAGAGACCCCGAGAGGCACAGGCTGTCCAACAAAGCTGGTGAGCGTGCTGTCATTTCCTGGACCAGCAAAATCGGCATCGCTCTTAACCTGAAACTCAGCTGCAGGAGTGTGAGCTGTGTTTCAGATACATAGCATGTTCAGAGACTTACCAGGAGTGTTCGGCTCTTTGGGGGTAGAGGTGAGCACAAAATCATCAGTAGAGGTAGGATTCTTGGCGGCGTCATCATGGGACTTGGAGAGGCTGCCATGTTCACTGGACGCGTCTTCAGACACGTCAACAACAGAGGATGCCTTCCTATACGCGTTTGGGTCGAGCTTCAAAGCCCTAGCAGCGGCCATAAACCCTGCCGTGTCATCGACATCGGCGATAGGATACATCTTAGTGGGAGGCTTTTCACCAGATGAAATGCGTGAGTCGTTAATATTAGAGGGGTAAGAAGATGAGAGTGAGGGAGAAGGACTTGGAGTGTGAAAGACAGGAGGGGTCTTGTAGCCAGCAGCAGATGACTGTTTTTGTGTTATCGGTCCACACGTCAGCTCAGAAAAAGGCAAGACTAAACAAGGCTGGATAGGGAGAATAGTAACGTTACGCTGGAGAATGAGGTGATGGTTGCTGGGGGGAAAGGGAGAAAGGAAGAGGTAAGAGGGAGAAAGTGTGAGTGAGTGGTTCAGAGAGAGAAGGGGAGAGAAAAAGAAAACAAACCGTGGAGGGGCTATTTGTAGAGATCACAATATCCTGATCCTCTGCTGAGGGAGCGTGGCGACTGTCATCTAGGGTAGGAGCAGCGTTTCTCTCCAAGAAGGACTCGAATACACTATGGATGACGCTGGTGACATTTGAGCTGAAATGAAACGGCCTTGCCATCATGATTTTGAGCTTGAGAGTATCTAATATTTTGCACAAGACGCTGACCACAGGATTGAATAGGCGTAAGGTTTGATGGATATGTGATAGGAAATTGTACAGCATGATGATGCTATGTACAGTAAGGGGGCCAAGTGGAAAGGGGCATATAACTAGTGCTTGTAGCCTGGAAAGGGACTTGGTGATGAGAGAAGAAGAGGAAATGACGACGAAGAGGGGGGAAATGGAGAGGACGAGGGGGGGGGGGGGGTTATAGGAGTTGTCCAAGGCAAGCATCTGTTACTGACCTGGAGATGATGGCATCAATCTGCTATTGTTTTAGCCACACAGTGAATGAAGAAATGACTGATAAATAACTACAAAAGCTCTCTCAGTCAACATCGATCAATGACAATATCAAAGGGAAGTAACGCAATGCCTGTGATTTAACAAACACATGAATGCCTTTCAAGCTTACCTGTTGAGACAATCAATAGGTCTAATTCAGCTTTAAATCAGATATTCAATACAAACGTCAGGCTATTATGAAGGAAACTGCTGAATTCTAGTAGTTTCTGACCATTCATTATGTACGTCTCTGATATCATTAATGTATTTCACAAGAATAGTTCGTCGTTGTAACTCCATATTCCAGGAAGAGGATTTGCACGTCACTCTCTTCGGCAGAAGATCATGTCAAAGGCTCACGTTGGTACCGGTATACTTTCGAACCCGTCCTGGCCCTCTTTGCGGTCTTCGACGATGACTTGGAGCCCTCGTCGTCCACAATAACCGTCACTCCCAGGAATTCGTGTAACTAACTGGAAAGACCCACCTCCATCGGTTTTGCCATTCGGTACCCAGACCGTCTCTTCAACAGCCTGACCACGAACTTCTGATCGACGAGGATTGAACCAAGGCATACCCGCAAGATGGCTACCAATGTTATGAATTAAAGAGTAGAGTTTTTCAAACCGTCGAGTTGTCCACAACCAAGATAGGGTGCGGCCATCGTATGCCACGCGTACGAAGGGATTCATGTAGATCCCAGTGTCCACGATCTCATCCCCATTCGATGGCGGCTTACCGATGTCGGCATGGATGAGACAGCATTCAGAAGCTTCCCAGAACAAGTCAGGCGCAGAACGAAAACGAACAGGGAATTGTTCTCCTCCCATTTCAACTGCGGGCTTCGCACTGCCTTGAAAGAATCGTGCATCGAATGCCACCATTCCTCCCCAGCAACTGCGGACTCGCACCGCATCCTTTTCTGCTAAAACATCCCGTCGGCTCTGGCCTCCTCCAGCGGTTGTAAACCAAGGGAAGAACGGAAGGCCCACGCCATAGCCCTGCACATCACGCGTTGCATATGTATCGTAGAACTTGAATGGGTTAGAAAAGTCAACAGCGCACGCTGCTCGGTATTGAGCGACACCGTCGTCATCCACATTAGTAGAGAACAAGAGATGGAGAGCATCGACTGGATCGAAGAAAACGTCGTTGATGTATAAAAGTTTGTCGTATTGCGTTTTAGACTCTTCCAGCGACCGTAAGGCTCGGTTACGGACCTCAGCCAAATAATCGATACGCTTAGTGCGCTTAGAGCCCCCGGGAATAGTCACCCTAGGCAGGGTGCTCAAGTCGAAATGCTCTTCGATTATAATAGACTTATTGCTTGCGACCTGGTTTTCTAGGGCTCGTAACGCACTCTCACCCTCTGGTCCGCTGTCATTCTCATAGATACTTAGGAAAACATTATCCTCTCCAAGCAAGTCGATAAGTTGAAGAATAGTAGAGCCCCATTGTCCCTGCGCTAACTTCCCGCCACGATCATATAAGCTAACAGCTATGAAAACCTTTTCATTGCCAGGGTTCCCCCGGCCAGAGGCGCTTGAATGTGAGACGGTCGATCGAAGTGCTGTATAATGGGGTGGATGCCGGGTATATGAGGGCCGCAAGATTGCAGTGAGGATAAGAAGAGCAAGAATGATACCGACGACGGCATGTAGGTAGAAACAGGCCCGACGAAACAGGATGCGTCGGAAACAGCTAGGTCGCGCCGAAGCCGAGATCAAGGGCCGGGACGTTTTGAGACGACGGTATCCAGAGTAAGTCGAAGCAAAAACCCGTGATAAAAAAGGCACCCGGCGCAAGAGTCGCCGGGGTCGAGGTGGAACTTGCGACTCAAAGTCGGCCTCGTCTAAGTTGAAGCTCCCCTGGGAGTCAACGGATGAGCGAGTTTCCAGTTCATACTCGTCGGGATGAAGTAGTCGGGAAGAAGACATGACGAACGATCGTCACATGAAGAATGGAAGCATTCACCTAGCCCATATCTGAGGTAGTTGGGCCGAACAATAACAGAATCACGCTTCTATGGCTAGGCGTCAAAGAAAACTTAACACCAGGCTGAAGCTATTATCTTCCCAAACAGGATAGTAGGATTATGTCAGCCGATCTGGACCGCCAAGACATTTGCTTAAATCGGTGGTGCGGAGAACAACCAATGGATCACATCATCGACAATTGACTTCGGCGTTCGTTCGGACCTCCCATGCAGGAGATACGAAGTTAGACAATCCCCCCAAGATTGTTTCACTTATATCTATAGACGAAGAAAAAGGAAAAGGAAACGTCCACATGTCACCGATATGTTCCGTATTCCCACTTCCTATTACCCCCGAACGCGAGTATGTCAGAAACCCCACCACCGGCCGTAGAGTCATGACTGTCATGGTCAAGTACTGTTTGTACTGGGGGAATTGTGGAGCACCACCGTCTAGTGACGTATGCGGAGGTTTATATTTCCTCTTCCTCCTCTTTACCTTTGCCCTTGATTCTCTTCTCATCTTCTAAAGTTTCATATTCGGGTAAACGTCGTCTGGGTCACGTTCCCATCATATTTTCTTGTTACCCCCTGCACCATAAACGTTATCTGGGAGACAAAAAAAGAAAAGAAAGTATCACAGCCACTATGTCAACATTTGCCTTTGCCAACTCTAACGAAAAGGTCCCTGGTAATGGAACCCTTCCTGCCGAATTCACAATAAAAGCCTCTCCGGGAACGGATGTATGGTCGAAACCTCCATCCACGGAACGATTCAACGCTCCGATCCTATACCAGAGCGTCCCGTTGAACTCATTCAAGCGGGCTAGGGTTGCCTTCAATGCCTTCTGGAAAGACAAATACGACCAGGGTGGACTCATCCTTGTTTTGAACAGCGCAGATGGTCCTCGGAGATGGGTTAAGACGGGCATCGAGCTCACTCATGGTAGACCCCATTTGAGCACCGTTGCGAAGGATAGATTTGCGGACTGGAGTTTACAACCGGTCCCTTCAGGTGGTGGAGCAGCAACGCTGGAGATCGTCAGAGAGTCAGACAATAGTCTGTGGATCTACTTAGTTGAAGGCGTGCAGAAGAATCCTCTCCGTGAGGTCACTTGGTTTTTCGAGGAGCAGAACGTCCAAGACCTCTGGGTGGGACTATACGCGGCGAAGCCTTCTAACGAAGGTCAGGATCTGGCGGTCAATTTCGGCCACCTAATTGTTGACACCGTTTGATTTGGCGGGCCGATAGGCAAACCTGGATATAACCATTATATTTATTAGACTCTGTGTGAAGGTAATTTGCTTATTGGACGATCAATTTGTCAACACTTGGACATACTGGCAGTGCTATGGACATAGAAGCATGCTAGTGTGGAGATATATCTGCAACTGTTCCCGTCAACTTGCACCAACGTACGAAGATCAATAGTAGTGAGGATAGAGCATGCATTCATAGCTAAAGATACTGTAAGAGAATTGATAGTTGTAGCGGAATAGTCCAAAATTTCTAGAGTCATTTCCAGAGACCCAAGTTACCCTCAAAGTAGTCGAGCTGCGATTGATGCCGTGCTTCATATCTGATAGACAATCTTATATGCTGAGATTTTCCCATCCCTATATCTCTGGAAACCATCAGAAACAGCGTCCAATCCAGAAAGCACCTTTGTAACATTTGGCTTGATCGTGCCCTCCTCGAGCCACGGACCTAGTTTCTCAAACAGTTCGCTCGCTAGCTCATGATCCTTTTCAGATGCCTATAGGAAGAAATTCAGTTTTGGCTATCACAGCAAACGACTGCCAACTACCTACCGGCCAATGAAACTTCCCATAGCTATGGTCCTTGAGAAATGTCGTCCACACCAACACGTCTGTAACATGGGCTTTCTCGGAGACACCCTCAGTATTTGCTTTGCCCGGTCGCACCGTGCAGATGCTTCCTTGACAGCTACCGAACACTCGTGAAGCCGTCAGGGATGAACCTCGATCTCCAACAGTGTCAAAAACATGGTAGATATTTGGGGCAGCTTTTCGAATCTCCTCCGCCACCTCCTCATCCTTATAATCGAAAGCATATTTCGCACCATATGATCGCACTAGTTCTGCATTATGGGGACTGCAGGTAGTGATCACATCGAACCCATAGAGGGACGCGATTTGAATAGAATACAGACCGACACTGGCTGTTTCACACCCGATAACGTTAGACGATCGGAATCTCTGAAGTGATAAAGGAAACCTTACTGCTACCTCCCCACACCAGCACACTTTTACCCTGTGCTTTGGCACGGTCGAGATTGAGACAATCTGGGGAGAATAATGCGAGCCACGCAGTGGCTGCAGCGAGGGGTACTGTACTAGCATATTCACGCGAGAGAGTTGTAGGCACCTTAAAGGCAATTCGCTGGTCAGCCAGACAGTACTCGCTGTATGCACCAAGTCCCTTGGTCTCGCCTCCCCAGATCAATGCCGCTACGATATCGCCTTTAGTTAATCGTGTTACTCCCGCGCCAACTTGAACCACTTCCCCGACAAAATCACAGCCCAGCACGGTTCCATCGCCAAAAGCATTGCTGTCAAAAGATTGAACTAGGGGTGGATCAGCCTATGCCTTACTTAGAATGGAGATAAAAGAGTAGGCAAAGCGAAGGGGCTCCTACCATCTGTCGGGTTTTGAGCTACATGAGACACTTTAACAAGCACCTGTCCAGGGCCTGGTGACGGAACAGGAATTGATTCTCTAACCAATTTCGGTGATTGGCCTTCGGATACGCGGACGACCAGGGATGAGCTGTACTGAGTGCTCATTGTACAATATGTTGGTGCGATGAATATGTAGAGTGTCGGATTAAGGCCAGCAGGAATGGACTTTCAATTTGGTTTGAATCGGCACACCTGGTGAGGCGCACGGAGGGCCGAGGCTAAGCATGGTTTAAATACTTACGCAGCAGCACTGACGCTTCAGATCTTTGGCAAATTATGCCCTGAAGACAATTGGACCATTACATACAAGTGGAAGCGCCGCTGAGACTTGGCCATGAGAGTATATTGAAGGTACTAGTAGTAGTAGAGGGGCAACCCCACAGATAACGTCAGGAACTATCTTCGTTCTCCAACGATGTTTGAACTTGAGCATTTGATCCTGATATAAAGCTAAACAGCAATAGAGAAACCCAAACCGTATGATCTGTATCCATAACATTTGCTCACTCTATATATCGACAACAACACCTGACTCGTATACCTATGTGTCAGTGGTGGTTGACATAGCACCATGATAAACAATTGGTACTACTAGTAGTAGGTGTGGAGCCTCTTGGAGGCGGCTGGACTTACCAATTTATCAATGGGAGTAATTGTAACCGCCAGTATGTCGTGTGTACTAGGTAGCTTAGCCGGCTGCTTAAAATAGGTTGATACATAACATCTATTTTTTCATACGATTGACAAGCGCTTTAGATCATTGATGAGACGGACGATATTTATTCGGGATTATCACGTCGTCAATAACACACCCCGGCGTTCACCCTCAACTCAAACCCGCAGTTGGGATAATTATGGGGATGTAAAGCTTACTGGTGAGGTGCAGGATGAGAGAAACTGCTCTACATATTCCCAGAATCGCACGTTCTCCAGGCCTCAGTCAAGCTATGTTAGTTTGTCTGAAATCATCTGGCGCCCTCGTGGCGTTATTTCAAGCCTAGCCGGCGGCATATCTAGTGTTGAGGTTCTTTTCTCTCAAAGACAGGATCTTGAAGTCTCTGCAAACCCCTTCGTTGAAGATTCTGCTTCGTCTGCTTTGTTGGCTCCAGATGGTGTTGCTCGTCGACAAATTCCACAACCCAGACATATATTCTGCCTTTTTCCCTAGGCCAGGCGATCTCTTCCAGTGTATCCTTGCTCCCTGAGCCTTCACCACCAGTGACAGATACCAAAAAAGCTCTATTGATTTCATCCTATCTGCGGAAAACAGGAACTCGGTGTGAGACCACAAATACTCAAAGGCAATCCACAGCGCAGAATATACATGGCATGATGGAGCCTGCCACCTTTGTGGCAGCTGCCATGTCCCTCGCCTCGCGTCAACTGGACCACATTGAACAGTGTCAGCATTCGGTAACATTAGAACTGTATCAGTATACTATCCGACTACTCTTAGGCCAGGATCCTACCATGGCGGATGCCTCGGTGCTAGCGACTTGCACTCTGCTGTGTGTTTAGGAGATGATGGCTTCCGGAGTGTCCGAATGGAGGTGTCACTTGAAGGTATATGCTCTGACTTCCTTTGGTATCGACTTTATCTCTTTGTTTGGTATTAATCGAATATCATATATTAATCAATGCCATCTACAGGGATGTGCCGGGCTTTTTCGAGTAAAGGGATGGGATGGGCCGAGTAGAGGCATCGTGAAGTCGTGCTTTTGGGCATTTGCTCGAATTGGCAAGCTGTCCCTCCTAACAAAGATACAAATTAAAGGCTCATTAGGTATTAACAGCTGTGTTGATTAGATATTTGGGCAGCTTTTTGCACTAATCCCAACCGACTTCTGGATGGACAACATGTCAATTGTGCCCGCCGCGGCAGATGGAGATATTGACAATTACTGCAACCTGGCCATCATTGTATTTGCGAAAATAAAATCATCTGGCAACGTTCAGTCTATCCAACAGAATGCCCGAGCCGGAGCTTAGGAGGAGTATGGCAGCTCCATGGAACGAACTTCAAGAGTGGTATCGACTTCGTCCTAAACAAGTTTATCCGCTACTAAGGAGCGAGTGCACACCCTCCAATACCCTATCTAACATTGTCTTTACTCAATCATCCTCAGCCAGGTATTTCACGGATGGTAAAGACTAATTGCCCGGGCAAAGTGACTAACGTGCGTGAAAAGTTTGTGGGAACACTTTCTACCATGCCAGTTCCATCCTACTACTGCAGGAAGGGCTTATTATAACAGCAGTGCAGGCCCGCATGGCTCAGACGATAAGTACACGAAGCTGCTTGCTACTAAGTTCTTCTCGCCCTCTTCAATATCATGTATACGAACACTGGTGTATCTGCTAAGGGGGAGGAGCCGTTTGCTCATTTGGAGGTACTAAGGATGGTATCTGACTATTTGCTTCAAGACCGACCCCATTTAGCACGTTCGAGAACAGATGGGAATATCCATTTCGAATGTGTCACAGTAAGCGGTGGCCTGTTTCGACCTCTCCAAGCCTTTTACTTTCCTTCCATCCGCCACTGCCTAGCAGAGTATAAGAAGGATCACACCCTGGCTAGAGAGAAGAATAGCAACAGAAGATATAAAAACAACGTCAAGGCCAACTAGTACGAATGGGGTGTATCAACTACAACCTTTATACATCGCAGGCACCGTTCTCGCGGGTTTCCAAAGTTGTTATACACAGCAGTCAGGGTGGTCATATGTTTGGTCAGAGGTACGTCCTGGACTGTCTTCATCCAATTCCCCTGGCGACCAGAATAGTCGCAGTGCATGTTCAGTGGAAGAGTTCGCCGCCGAGAAGATATTGCTTCTCAAGAACTTGGGTCTCATTGAGCGTGAGACGGGATGAAAGACTTCTGACCGTGCGGCCGACCTGAGAAAATCATGGAGTTTCGAGTAAGAAATGATATCTTGTATTTATAAGATCTGTTGATGTATATTGATTTGCGAGCCTGGATCTGATGCGGCGCACTACTTTTGCTAGTAAGGTACATGTACCTGCATTGTCCAAGGTTGAAGTAAGATGCTATGATCAGTCATTTTTTAAGTTGAAAGTTCAGCCACATGGTTTCACCAGAAACCTGGATATGTGAGAAATCAAAGGATATACAACTGAGTTTTATTATGCAGAAGTACCAGAATTTTCATAGGCACTAGCTCTATTTGAAATCAAGATATTGGCTTCTATCCAGCATTACCTAGCTAATCTTATAAGACTTCTCAGTGCTTAGACTACAGACACTTCAACTTAGTCTGCGCCCAGGCGAAATGCTCGGTAGCACACGACATGTCTGTCGTAAGCTCACGTAGTATACGAGTACTGATAACTGGTAGATCTACCTATAGTTAGAATAATATCGTAGGGGAATGAAAGACTTCGGACAAAAGAAAGGTATACAGAGTCGATGGATAGCCGAAAGTCACTCCATAAAACTTGTATATCAGGGATTATACCTGACTGCTGTCAACTTAATACCACTGTTAGGCATATAACTTACGTGGAAGCAACAATACTTAGCACAAACAATCTACTAACTAATTCAGCGAACCCACCGAGTTGTTCGTACGAGCTGAGTGGCCCTTTGGTATTTGCTTTTTTTCCCCCTTCTTTTTTCTACCCTGTATTCTTTTCCTTTCTTTTATTTATTTGATTCCCTCCCTACCTAGCAACCTCAAAATCCGTGTTGACTGGGTGGACAAGACACTAGTTGTAGGAGTAAGTGGAGATTTTATTTTAACTTCGGCAGAAAGGAACGGAAAAGAAAACAAGTTCCGTTCAGCTCGCGGTAGTCGCGGCTTCTGGTGGAAATCGGAACATAGTTCAATATCATGGATCCTGACATGATTACGAGGATATTCCTGGTCTATCTCGAGTGGCTCTTACTCAGACTGACTCATACCAAGGACCGGTTCTTCGGATGGAGAAGTCGAAAGAGTGAGGGGGAGAAATACGAAAAGCAAAGGAGGGGTTTTAAAAATAAAAATAAAGATAAATGAATAAAATAAATGTGAGAGAGAGAGAGAGAGGAAA